TTTTATATTTTAGTAAAGCACCACTATTTTCTTTCAACAACTATTCCAAAATAACTGCGTTGGGTCGCTGAAGCTGCGTGCAGACAACCAAGTTAAAGCTGTTTTAATATCAAAAACATCAGGTAATTGATCAGTTGTAATACTAACAGCAAGAACACTATTTCAAACATATATCTATTGACTCATTAATGAACAAAATAGATTATGTAACCATTTTAAAAGACAATATTGGGCCAAAATACCTACAACCAAAATTGTAAAGAAGAATCTAACCCTCAAACATCTGGATCATTCCAACGTTTGGAATTTGAGATACCTGTGTTATGTTGATTTTGAAAGATAGAATGATATTCGCGAATTGACACCAAATTAGTTTTATGTTTTACACTTGCAAAACTTTACCCTTGGACAAAAATGGGAGATATTGATAATTTATTTCCAAAGTGGTCAACCAAAACAGTAAGAAATTTACATGGAAAATTTGGAATTTGGCCTTCAACTCAGTTTGTGGATCAAGTCGTGAAACTGAATAGTTATTGGACAAAATAATGTTACCCAGAGTGTGCGTGAAAATCTAACATCAACTCTTTATCGTTTTCAAGAACATTTCTCGCACTTCTCTCAGAAAAATTTTGCATAAACATCTGGGTATGACGACTTATAAAGTTTAATTAGTCCAAGAACTGATGCCTCATAACCATCCGATGAGTTTTCGGTTAACTCAAACCACTGGTGATCGTTTGGCCGAAGATGAGCATCTTTTCAGATGAAGCCCATTTTTTCCACATCGAAGACCATGTCAATATGCAAAATTGTCACATTTGGGGCTGATGTTAACCATCCAAAGACGATTGAGGCCTTGAAACATGAAATCGAAACTGCCATACATGAAATTCAAGCCCAAGCAATCGAAAAAGTACTAGAAAGTTGGGTTGATCAGATGACGTACTGTAGCCAGCAGTAGCAGTCATTTGAAGAATATTGTGTTTCAGTCTTAAATATAAAGGTTCCATCTATCTAATAAAACCGTAATTTTGAAAAACTATTCATTACTTTTCTTTTTATACCCTTTATACCGTTATAAAGCATATGTAAGAACATTTTGACGTAATGGTTAGACAAAGGACCATTTCAAGCAAAAACGACAGAGAAGAATGGATGAAAATTTCTCCAGATAAACTATTTCTCGTATTTATTTAAATTGTAAAATCAATTTTTGTTTGTTTTAACAATTACCATTATTTTAGTCTTTCTTCGAAGATTTCTAATGGATGGGTTAACCCATTTTTTTTTGAAAACTTATTATTTCTATTTAAAAGAATCAAAATTATGTACACATTTTATAACGGTACAATACCTTAGTAGGTTAGAAACGTTACTTACTTAGCTTGTTCTTAAGTGGTACTTAAAATTTAGCCGTTATTATTTATATTATTTTAAGAATTTCTAAAAAAAAAATTAATTAAAATTGTTTAATCAGAACAATAAAAAATTAATTAAAAATTGACTAAATAAAGTTTTATTTTGTGAGTTAATCTTATCATATGTGGTTTTATGAACTTAATATCACCTGATCAGCTGTTGATCACCTGATTAACACTTAAGTTATCTCATTAAAAGAACGTCATATTTTTTGTATTTGGAACATACAAAGTTATTAATAAAACTAAATTTACATTTCAATTCAATTTTACCAATTAATTTATGGTTTTAGTTGCCATTTTAAACATAATCCCTATCTATGTATAGAAAAGTTTATGATCTATTGAAATTGATCGGATAATTTAGTTTGATTATAACCTGACACGATGACGCGTTGAACCTAATAAAAAATTAAAAAAATATGAACTTGAAATTACTTAAATGGTGGTTTTTAATGATATCAATGAGAAGCGCGTGTAGAAAACTTGTTTTTGAGGTCGAACTATAACAACTTAAGTTTATTTTTATTTAATAGAACCATTATAACTTCATTGCTACGTGAAAAAATTATCAAATCAAATTATTAATAAACAATTTCTAATTATTTATGAATTAAAAACATAGAAAAATACTTTGTGTTCATTAAATATCCAATTAGTTCATTTTTTTGACAAAAACAACTCAAATATTAATATTTACGGGTTTTTTTGTTCGTTAAGCAATCAACTGTAACTTTACTCTAAATAATTATAAACGCTTTCAGCAACAAACATAATTTACATTAATACATCTAACCAACAACAAATAAAAAACAAACGTTTTAAAAATATATAAAAAAATTTCAAAATTTCTCTTTAATTAACGTGTATGTAACTTATTTGATTTGGATTGCAAATTACCACGTGCAATAGTTGTTCGTGGAAACTGCGATTTTATTAACTAAGTGATATATACCACATGTTTGATAATTCAGAGGTGCTAATGAATAGTAAAAATAGTCTTTTTGCAAAACAAATAGAGATGATGAAAATACAATTTAAATTCTTAAAAGATTGCGTTTAAAGATCATAAAATTACAATAAAACTTCAATATGACTTTGGATATGACAGATAAAATATTTTGTAAAATATTGTAATCTGAAGATGCACCGCTAAACCTGAAACTTTCTAGTTCTTGTTTTAGTTGTTATTTAGTGCTGGATTGTTATACAGGGTGAGTTATTAGTTTCCCGGCGGGCGATAGTTACTAAATTGTTTGAAAAACAAAAAAAATATTTTCTACAAAAGTTGTTTGGCTCACCACTTTCTATTACGTAAAATTATTTTCACTTATACATTATTTCATGGCTTTTTCTTAAGTATTTTTAAATGGAACACCCTGTATATTGTATGTTAGTTGAATTACTCATAAAGTTCCCTTTAATTAATGATAAGTATGTCATGTGTCTAACTTTAATAGTTTTCCTGATATTTAGAATTTAAAGAAAAATGTGTAATAAAATGTCATTATTGTACTTAAAAAGGTGACATAATGTAATATATTCTGTCCTTTTTTTGTTATTTTTTTTTTGTTTGTATGTCATTTGAAAATAAGTAATATTATATTAAAATACAATTAAAAAAAAACTTTAATAAATAAATAATCAAAACGTGATAAAAATACAAAAAATACAATTAAATGGCAGAACAATAAAAAAAAAGTAGGTATTAATTTAATTAATATTTAGAAGTTATTCAAAATGCCGCCCATTTTCTCTTCTACAAGCATTAATGCGCTGTACATACAAAAGACATTGAGATATTTCTTAACATGTGCATCTTATTTTCTCTAAAGTCATAAATTATATAGCAGAACAATTGCATATTTTATTAACATGCATATTTTAAATCCCATAAAGAACCAAGTCGCATTAAAAATTTGGTATATGGCAATAAAATTATTTTACATTATAAAATATTAATCAAATAATAAAAGGAAGAACAAAAAAAAAACTGATCAAAATAGACAGAATATAATATTAAGTACAATAACGCATATTTTATTACACATTATTCTTTAAATTCTAAATATATGGAAAACTACTAAAGTTACATATATGACATACGTATTATTAATTAAAGGTAACTTGATGGGCAATTCAAACAGCACACAATATACAGTATGTTCCGTTTAAAAAATTTATGAAAAAGCCATTTGAAAAATATCAAAAGTAACTCAGCTTTATGAACACGCTGTATACATTATCTAATATCTTTGGATACTATCATTTACCTATTGTCTTTGACTATTATCTGACAAAGTTTCAAGGAAAAATTGGAAAAAATGTCGTTTTTACATAGGTTTTAAAAAGATCCTGCAATGGACACATTTTGGAAAAATAATCGAATATCTCAGGAACTATAAACGCTATGAATTAGTAACATATACGGTTGTATAAACAAATTTAATTCTATTCATAATACGATAAAATATACAGGATGTTCCATTTAAAAAATCTACATACTCTCCGTTACACCTAAATGAAACATCCTGTATAAGTGAAAATAATTTTACGTAATAGAAAGTAGTGAGTCAAACAACTTTTGTAGAAAATATTTCTACGGTTTTTTCTAACGGTTTAGCAACTCACCCTGTATATACAGGATGTCTCGCGCAAATTCACCAAAAAAATCTTAAAACCAAAATAACTCAAAAACGAAAATCGCTAGGTACCAATAACTTTTATCAAAGTCAACCTATTTTTTTACGTACAATTAAACGGTGTAATAAAAACTATAGCATTCCATTTAAAATAACGAAGTTACGGTCTACTTCCGGTAGACCGGAAGTGGCGGCTATCTTGAAAATATTTTAGATCGAAAGTTCCGAATGAACAACCCATGCTACCAAAATTTCAAATCTCTACGAATAGTGGAACCTGAAATAGTTCTAACGAACCAGTTACGCGAGACACCTACACATACAGGTGTCTCCGAAATGCATGTACAACGGAAGACCACAGATTCCTTGACCCAAAATAGGTCGATTTAAATTAAGTTATCTATATCCAAAGTTGCTTCGTTTCGCCGCTAAAGGACTTCAACGTTAGCAAAAAAAAAACTTTTATTTTTTTATAACTCGCCTTTTTATGGTTTTTGATACAATTTTAGAAACACTGGAATGATGGAAAAGTCACCCATTGCAATTTATGTTTAAAAAGACGTTAATTGAAACTAGGAACTCACTACAGAAAAATGGTTTCAATTGATTTACGCGTTTTCGAATTTGTTTTGCTAACTTTGAAGTCCTCGAGCCGTGAAACGAAGTAACTTTGGATATTGATAACGTAACTTAAATCGACCTATTTTGAGCCAAGGAATCTGTGGTCTTCCGTTGTACACGCATTTCGAAGACACCTGTATATAACACTAAACCTAGAAATGTTCAGGTTTAGCCGTCTTAAGAGATGCACGCCTAAACTCAATCAAGATCTTTATTTTATATTATAAGCCTTACGTTTTAAACAAACAACATTACGAAACACGAATAGAAAACATTAAGCATTTGTAATTGAATGTGTGAAATAGTAGTTGCTTACTTATGGTTGACGTCACGAACGGTCCTTCGAGCTGTTCCCAGATGTAGCAGTCTTTTTAAATTCTACTGTCCTTAGTATAAATATAAACCCAGGTAGACTGAACGCAACGATATTGATAGCTGCCTGAATTTGTGTGAATTAAAATTATTCACCATACAAATTTTCCTCCCTTCCTCGTATTAGTCCGTTATATCGCGGTTTTACTGAAATATCAAAAAGTTTAAAAATTTAATACTTCCAAAAAAAGAAATATTTTCGTTCCTATTACTTAAAGCAAACAAAACTGATAAGAGTAAAAACAATGGGAAAAATTCTATTGTTTTCAATGAACTAAAAAAAACTAATTCTTTTTGTTCATTATTAACATAAACCGGTTAAAATAAGGTGATTTATTCCACCTCATTAAAATTCAAGTTCGGTTTATACCGCCTCAAAGGAAGACAGTCAATATTAGTATTTCTCAACACAATTTTTTATTTTCCTTTATACAACTTGGTATTAATATATTTTACAAAAATATACATAACTTTAAAAATGTTTCAAATCTCAAAATTCCATGGTATACAAACCACACCATCAGAAAGAACGGAATAATACGTAGCAATATTCACTTGAAGACCTCTTAAATAAACTAATTTACTTTCATGTTTCAACAACTTTTTACAACAATCAATCATCAAATCGGGGTTAACATTATCATCCTTATGCAATGTTTCCATTTTGAAATGTTTTAAGACATCAGATCTAAACGAACGTTCAACGTGTTTATTCCTAAAAAATAGAATTAAATTTATGAATTCATTTGTTGTACAATAAATAGGACATTAATAAATACATTCGATACGTTTCAAGACGACGTTTCGCATCATCTAAATTTTCGGATATAAAATTAACTAAAAGTGAACCTGGACAAGAAGATGGAACAATAAATTGACCTGTCGGTGATACCATAAGTGGTCCAGCTTCCCTAAAAAGGTAACATAATAAATAATAAATTTTTTTTTACTAATTAATATTATGTACGTTTCAACAACAATTTCAAAAGTAGCCAAAGAATTCGGCCAATGTTTTGGATACCCTCGAAGTCCTCTATAATCACTCAAATTCGTTGTTAATTGTTGTAATTGTCTTTCGTATTCCCCTGCTAATATTTTAGGCATAAATTTCCTCCTAACCACTTTTATGTCTTTTAACACTTGAGAAACCGTTTTTTCAAAACCAGGTATTCGTAGCAAAACTTCATCATATTTTTTTACATTTCTTATTAACTACAATAAACAATTTTGATAAAAATGTATAAAATTATTTTGTCATAAACATACATCTAACCAATTATGCCTAACTTCACCTGTATACAACATTATATGTCCATCTAAACTTACTCCAGTAAATGGAGCAAAAACTAATGTTCTACCTACAATAAAAATAATCAAAATAATTTAACACATTTACTGTGGTTAGATATACAGGCTGGTTCAGTTTTTTGTTATCTGCAGCGATTACATATTTTTGTGATTTTTGAAAAAAAATTAAATGGTCCAAAGTCTCTTCTCCTACTCTAAATTCATTGGAGACAAAATTGCAGAAAAACGGAAAGCAAGAAAGAAATGGCAAACCACTAGAATTCCTAGTGATAAAACTAAATTAAATAAAATAACAGCCGAATTAAGAGCGTTAACAGATAGCCACAAAGATAATAATATTCAAAATTACTTAAAAGACCTTACTGACGATGCCAGTACTGTTTATTCTCTGTAGAAGGCAACAAGAAAACTTAAAGTTCCAAAAACACATACACCTCCAATTCGAAATAATAATGGAAATTGTGCTAAGAGCAATCAAGAAAAAGTTAATTTGTTTGCTGAACATCTGATAGAAACTTTTACATCAGACAGTCCAACAACTATGCTAAATAGTGTCCCTAGCGTAATTCAAAGTGATCCTCAGTGTCTAGATATTAGTAGATTATTAGCTTATTACTTGATTAATGTTGAAACATCTACCAAAACGTGCGATTACAAAACTATTACACATAATTAATGCTGTTTTTCAACAGAAATACTTCCTGAGCATATGGAAAGTTGCTGAAATAATGATACCAAAACCTGGTAAACCCCCCACAGATGTTACATCATATAGGTCAATCTCATTATTACCCTTACTATCAAAACTGCTTGAAAAATTACTATTAAAAAGACTAAAACCTGTCAGAAGAAAAAGCCGTAATACCACCACATCAATTTGGGTTTCTGAATAAACATGCAACAACAGACCAAGCGCATAGAATAACGAATACTATCGAAATAGCAGTGGAAGAAAATAAAGTCTGCTCCGCCGTATTTCTGGATGTTGCACAAGCTTTCGACAAAGTCTGGTTAGACCGCTTAAATTACAAACTAGACAAAATACTACCATCAACGTATAGTCAACTATTAAAATCATATCTTTCTGATCGATATTTTAGAGTAAAATACGAAAACGCTTATTCACCACTACATGAAATACGAGTCGGAGTTCCTCAAGGAAGTGTGCTTGGCCCAACACTGTACTTACTCTACACATTCGAGCTTCCTCAAGTACTAGAAACTTTAGCAGCTACATTCACAGATGACATAGCGATCTTGGCTGTTGCAGAAAATGAAGCAAATAAGTTACAATTGGCCTTCTTAAATTCAATAGAAAACTGGACCAAAGGATGGCTAATAAAACTAAATACAAATAAATCGACATACATAAATTTTACTTATAAGAAAGTAAACTATGTCTCAGTACACATAACTGGCAATGCAGTCCCGCAAAATATCTGGGTATGACTCTGGATGCTAAACTCAAATGAAGCTCACGTAAAAAAAAAAAAAAAAAAAAACGTGAGGAACTTGATATCAAATTTAGACACCTATATTGGCTTAATGGCAGAAAATCAACGCTATCACTAACAAGTTGCTAATATACAAGAAAGTATTAAAACCAAAATGGACATACAGAATCCAATTATGGGGTTGTACCTGTAAAACAAATGCAAATCTGATTCAAAGATTCCAGAACAAAGTACTAAGGTGCATAGTGAATGCACCCTTGAATGCAGCATTGTGCGCGTTTTTGTGTTTTGGTCTTAAAACGATAACAATATGACAATATTTTTATCTACAGTATGACTCCAGATCGAGTTACAAAGAGGAAAAAAAATTTTATTACTGATTTTTCAAACTTATTTCAGCATAAATAATGCGTCAGATATGTTCAAACCACCAAATCGCACGAATTCTATACTTGGACTTAAAATTGGACTTTTTTCTAAATTGAAAAATTTTAAAGTTCAATTTATGATATGTAACCATAGAAATCATAAAAGTTACAACTTATGTTAGTGAAAAATATACGGACAAATCAAATTAAAATAAGGCTAAATAATTGAATAAAATATTTTAAATGTAAATGTATGTAATAACACACTATGTAAGTTTGTAAGTGAACAAATCAACTATTCGGCACACATTTGAAGACAAGCTCTAAATTCTTTGAAAGAATTACGAATTTCCGCCAGTGGTAGAGATTCTATCGCATTAATTATTCTTAATTTTAATAGTTCTGCATCGCCTTGTAATGGTTCACTGTAAACAATTTGTTCCAATCGTCCCCAAAAGTAAAAATCCATAATTGTAAGATCAGGACTATGTGCTGGTCATAAAATAGGACCATTCGGTCACAATGTGTGATGATGAGCTAGGCAACCGTCTCGCTGAGTACATTAAAAAAAAAGCTGAAAGTTGTTCATTAAAATAATTTTGTAACATATCCAAATATTTCTGTTGATTTACATTTCCGTCGAAGAAATATGGCCCAATTACCCCGTGATATGTTATAGCACACTACACATTAACTTTTTTGAAATGTTAACTTCGTGTAGAGAGTGTAGAATTTGGATTTACATCACTCTTCTATGGTTACATATCATAAATTGAACTTAGAAACATTTTTAGTTTAGAAAAAAGGTCCCATTTTTACATAAAAATGGGAATAATTAGTTAACTTCTATAGTTAGAGTATAAAATTGATGCGAATTAGTGATTTGAACATATCCGACGCATTATTTATGCTTCAGTAATAAAAATTTTTTTGTTCTTTGTAACTTGATCCGGGGACATACTGTATATTATGGGTAAAGCAGACTGGACCACTGGGAAAAGCTGCAAAACATTATCTAGTTTAATTTGGTGTTAAAAATAAGTAACTTATTAGCATGTATTTACTAGGTGTTATACAATTGTGCTATGCACAATATAGAAAAAAAATGTTATAGCTCATCGTCTAACTGTCTGGGATAGCGGGAATTTTATGTTTCTCTATGTAAGTTACGCCCCCTAGCGGTCGATTTACGAATTTCAAAATAAGTTCCAGCTATTTCTCTTGACCACTTTGTTTATAAGGAGTTTTTCCCAAACCTCTAGGCCTCACCGTTGTCAATCCGTACCCTTAACGGGACACTCTGTATAAACATAGGGTCGCAACTCTTTTATTTTCGAGCTATGAGCTGTCAAAATTGAGCCAAAAATTTACAATTTATCTTTTATTTCGGGTTTAAGTAACCCGTACTGGTTAATATCTTATTTTCAACCACACCTTAAACTTCCCTAGGGTCTTTTAAGGGGATGAAATTCACAACCCCTTTGATTTTTTTATAACAACTTTGTAACGCCATGGAATATTAACATAAAAAAATCGGGGTTGTAAAGCTTATTCATTATTGGTACTTTTTTGTCTCTTTAGTTTTTTCCTTAAAGATAGTAGTTTTAGCGTAAAAAAATAAAATATGCTACATTGTAAAGCGCTGCTATTATTTAAAAAAAATTTTTTCTTTATAGCTGGATATGGAAGGTGTGTACTTACTAGGATCTAGTAGGTACTAACTAAATAACACCAATTAATTGTGATTTTCATAAGAAAAACCATAAATAAGATGAATGTCTGTCTGAACAAATTACGTTGATTTAAACAATATTAAAAAATTGATACTCTTGCTTAATAACAGTCAAAAATTATTAATAATTATCAACAATTATGAGGATTCACCGCAAATAAAACTTACAAGTTGTCAGAGCCAACTTTTAGAATAACTTTAGCTAAACATGGCGACACATAGCACGATATTTTATTTTTTTACAAGGAAACTATTAACTTTAAGCAAAATACTAAAGAGACAAAAAAATACCACTAAAGAATGAGGTTTACAACCCACATTTTTTTATATTAACATTCCATAGCGTTAAAAAGTTGTTATAAAAAAATCAAAGGGGTGGTGAATTTCATCCCCTTAGAGGGCGCTAAGGAAATTTAAGGTATGCATGAAAATAAAGTCTTAACCAGTAGTAAATATGTACAAAGTTTCAAATTCTATGGTTTACTTACAGCCTAAATACAAAACAAAATGTAAATTTTTGGCTCAACTTTGACAGTTCATAACTCAAAAATAATCGAGTTGCGATCCTATATTTATATTAAAAACTTGTGTTATTTTGGTAAGTACTACATCCTAAATAAAGTTTCCCAATTAAAAACTGAACCACCCTATATATTGTAAGATTTGATGTGATGCATTTTAAAATTAACCTTTTAAAATGTGCATAGGTTCAGGATGTTGTTCAGCTAAAGCTAAGAAACTTTGCAAACATCCCCTAAATTGACTTTCATTCCATCCACAATCCCATTTCACATCAAGAACTTCATAATTTTCTAAAACAATCTTTTTCAATTTACTGATATCTTGACGAATTGGTTTTGTTAATTTCGATCGCTCCAAAGCGATTAAATGGTGCTCCTTTAACCACTTTTCAAGAGTATAATTCTTCATTTCCTCAGCAACGCTTTGTTTCATAGATAAAGGCCCAAAAATTGGATCGATATCTTTAAAATTTTTAAATGTAAAATCAAAGTTAAATGATTTATTATTAACAGTGTTAGGTGGTTTCTTTTTCTCTTCTGGTATCTTATCAACATATTCTGTGCTTAATTCACAACTTTGCAAGATTGATAAAACTGCTTTGCGAACGTCGGAATCTTTGAGTTTAACCCAAACCATTTTTAATGTATTTGATTGTTTATCTCTCACTCGAATGTAAAATTGTAATGTACATGGTTTAGGATATTTTTTACGTTGTAATGATTCTAAATATGAACTTAATTGTTTTAAAGAAGTCTCATTGATTTGCTACAAAAGATTAAATTAATTAATTTCATTAATTATTAGTATTAATTATAATTACCCGTTGATCAGGGTATTGTCCAAAAAGATCTGGATGTACAGAAAAATAAAAGGGTCTCAAAGCCGTTGAAACTTCTGTAGAGGTCATACATCGGAACTGAATACATATTGAAACAAATCTGCTATAAAAATGTTATTAATACATGATTAAGAAGATACATAATTAAATATCATAACAGTTTACGTTACCATCTTTTTAACGAGTTAAATATCGACATTTTTAAATTAAAAAGAGTAAATACTTTCTGTTACATGACTTGGTTGGGAAATTGAGGTTATGTTCTAATGTTTGTATTAAAAAAAAATAAAAGATTGTGCATTTTGACCTTGAAACCTTGTTCCGTGTGAAGGTTACGTTTACAGCGGGAAATTTAAGATACGATTCCAAAAACGTTCTGTTGGGATTTTTAAACTAAAATTTTAAAAGATGTTTAACGATTAACGCGGTTAACTAAATTTTTGATTTGACTAATGTAACTATAGAAATAATAGAAATAACGTTAACATTCGGGTTTTTATTGTGTATTGTTTATTGGTAGTTTTATAATTGTAGGTATTTTTTGGGTAACACTTAAAAGAGTATCCTTAAAATAATAATTTATTTTAAAATAAGTAGAGAAAAATTAATGTATAAATTATTAATTAATTTTTATATGGCAAAAGAAATTTGAAAGAAAATTGTTAACGACATGACGTTAGTGACATGTAATTTGACAGTTGGTAACGAAACGTCGAAAAACAAAATTTGCTAAAACGGTGATAGCGAGAAAGGAGCTTTTGGGGCATTCATATGATAAAATTAAACCGTGCGGCAATTAAAACATGGACTTCGAAGACGAAGCCGACACCGTGTTGGAAGAGGATTATTACACAACCCTCAACATCTCAAAAGACGTTAGTTTTCAAATACCATTCACTGATTTTAGGTCAACCTAACCTAAAAATCAACCGTTTTCGAATCGTTTTTAGGCCACAAAGGAAGAGATAAACAACTCCTATAGACGCCTTAGTAGACTGTACCATCCTGATAAACATGTTGAACCCAAACAAAAAGAAAAAGCCGACATTATCTTTAACAAAATTAAAAACGCATACGAAAGTAAGGTTATGTCAATATTTCAGTTTATTGTGTAACGTTTTTAATGTTTCTTAATAGTTTTATCGGATCCTCATCGAAGAGCTATTTATGATAGTTTAGGTGTAAAAGGTTTAGAAACTGAGGGATGGGAGATTGTTCAAAGAACACGAACTCCAGCGGAAATCCGTGCTGAGTATGAACAATTAGCTGAGGAAAGAGCTGAGAGAAAGAAACAACAGCAAACAAACCCACATGGAGCTGTTACAGTTAATATAAACGCTACAGATTTATTTAATCCTTACGATGATTTAATGTTGGATGATCTCGATATGTAAGTTATCATAAAAATGTCAAAATTAAGTTGTATTAAAATATCTTTTTTAAAAGTACCACAGACTCTATTTTACCAAGTATTGAAGTATCTGGTATGAGTTTTAATCAATCGGTTGAGTTTCCATTAACACAAAAAGATACTTGTACATTATCCGGACAGTTAAATACACAAAATGGGACTGGAAATGGTGGAATAAATTTAAGCTGGAGGCACATTTATTCACATAAAAGTTGGTCTGAAGTTGAAGTAGTTGCTGGTATGTTATGTGGTTGAAGTTAGATTTAAATTTGAATTTGAAGTGGATTCAGATTCGTTTTTTTACAGTCGACCAGACAAATACTTATAATGAGTATTAAATAATATGACGCATATTTAAAAATATGTTGTAATTATTTAGGTGATTGTAATCAAGATATAGACATAATATAATGAAATCTTTTGCAAATTATTTGCACAAATTTAAATGCAATAAAAATGGCATAGGAATAATTATGGACATATCACTGTATTAATACAGGGCAAAAACCTTTCTGAATTAAGTAACAATTTTAAAAATTTCAGTTACAATATAACCAATATTTTCAAAAAATCATACCAACTAAACGTTTAATAGTTAAGAAATGATTTATATCTTAAATTGAAGCTGATAGATTGCAGTTTAGGATAAGATATAAAAACGTTGAAGTAGGATAATAAAAATATCATGATAAATATTATTAATCAAAGAATTGTCACATTTATTCATAAACTGATAATCAATATTTTCAAAAAATCATACTAACTGAACTTTTAATTGTTAAGAAACGATTTATATCTTACATTGAAGCTAAAAGATTGCGGTTTAGGATAATATATAAAAACCTTGATGTAGGATAATAAAAATTTTGTGATAAAAATGATTAACCCAGAAATTCTCAAATTTATACACAAACTGATAACCAATATTTTCAAAAAATCGTACCGTTTGAACTTTTAATAGTTAAGAAACGATTTATATCTTAAATTGAAGCTAAAAGATTGTAGTTTAGGATAAGATATAAAAACCTTGATGTAGGATAATAAAAATTTTGAGATAAAAATGATTAACTCAGAAATTGTCAATTTTATACACAAACTGATAACCAACATTTTCAAAAAATCATACCACCTGATCTTTTAATAGTTAAGAAACGATTTATATCTTAAATTGAAGCTAACAGATTGTAGTTTAGGATAAGAAATAAAAACCCTGATGTGAGATAATAAAAATTTTGAGATAAAAAGTATTAACCCAGAAATTGTCAAATTTATACCCAAACTGATAACCAATATTTTCAAAAAATCATACCATCTGAACTTTTAATAGTTAAGAAACGATTTATATCTTAAATTGAAGCTAAAAGATTGTAGTTTAGGATAATATATAAAAACCTAGATGTAGGATAATAAAAATTTCATGATAAAAATTATTAACCCAAAAATTGTAAAATTTATGCAGGGTCTGTCACGACGAGCTGAGTCTATATTTTATCACTATTTTTGTGAAAATTGCCATATAGGGTTTATCTAAGTTGCTCGTTTCAGCTAAAATATTTTCACTTTTCTCCAACTTCCGGTTATAACGGATATGGACCCCAACTTCGTTATTTTAAATGGAACATACCAATTTTTATTGAATTTTCGAGATCCTCGCTAAATGTGAATATAATTTTCCATAAGTCATCATATGTTTAGAGTGCATCATTTTTGAATTATTTCAGTTTTTTTGAAAATTTTGGCAGATACAACCCTTACTATAAAAATAATTTTTCGAAATCGGCTAAATATTATCAGGATTAACACAGAGACGACCCATAGCTTGCATAATCCTTGAAATGGTTTTTAAAAAGAAAGACGCGATATTTTCTAGGTCTAGTGTTAGTTCTGGTTTTAGTTCAATAAAAATATACAACATAATAGTATCTTATGCTAACTAGCGCTACTGAATCCGCTTCAGATTCGAATCTGAATCTAACTGCAACCATATGGTATGTTCACTTAATAAAATTGAAAAAGATTGCTATTTTTTTAAAATTTGCTTTAGTAGGAAATGGACCAGCCGTGTCTTTTAAGGCATTTAGAACACTGAGTAAACGATTTTATTGGAATGGTGGGACTATTTTGCAATTTACACCTCAAGGAATAAGACCAGGAATCATGTCAAGTAAATGAATTAATTAAAAATGTAATTTTTTTATTTATTATTTTCTCGTAGCATTAGCAATGCAATTAGATAAACACTCAATAGGTTATTTAACTTACCACGGTGGAATACGATCAATGGTTTCTACATCGATTGTTAGAGACACGGAATCGGCCCAATACAATTTATCTGTTCAAATAGGTCTTCCACATTCGTACATTTCAATTAGTTATACGAAGAAATTATTAAATCAAGAATTAAAATTACGATTATCAGTAAAGTATGATTTAAAAGTTGTTTTGGAATTGTTTTAATTCCTTTTTTAATATAGATATGGTACTTTTGGGGCCATTTTTGAATATGGAGTTGAAAAACGGGTCTCGAAACATAGTAATATGTCAGCGGCTGTAGCTATTGGTATGCCAACAGGAGTTAAATTAAAAATAAGGTAAATTGATGATAATTAAATTGATAACCGAAAATAATACATGTAATTAAAGATTAACGCGTGCAAATCAAGTATATTCCTTCCCAATTCATCTCTGTGAGGAAGTTCTACCTGCGCCGATATTTTATGCGACGGTAGTTCCACTTGTAGTTTATGTAATAATAAAGAAAGGCTTTGTTGAGCCGTTCTTAAAAGAACAACATGCAAAACAAGTTGAAAAACAACGCGAGGCAAATAGGTCAAAATTAATGCAGAAAAGAAAAGAAGCTCAAGCTGCTGTTGATTTAATGAATGCCACATACACGAGAATTGTAGAAGAAGAAGAAACAAAGAAGGGTCTGGTTATTGTTAAAGCTTTATATGGAAAATTAATATCTGGATCCGGTGACTCAAGCTCTAATGAAGATGGAAATGAAGAAGTCATTGAGGTTACTGTACCGTTACAGTGTCTTGTTAAAGATAGCAAATTGATTTTACATGAATTATCAAAGGTTGGATTTATTTTTAAACGATCTTGTTATATTTTAATTAATTAATATTTGTAGAGTCAACTCCCTGGATTTTTTGATCCAGCTGTCGGTGAAGAAAAATCACTTTTGATAGTTTATAATTTTAAACAACAACTTCACGAAGTGACAATAAGAGATAATGAGGCGTTAAGAATACCAAAAACATGTATGTTTCTACCAGTGATAACTTTGAAAAGAATTCTGACAATTTTTTGTTGTTTTAGCACATCGGTGTACAAACCCAACCTAGCGCTGGTTAGGTTATCAAAAGAATAGTCAAGGATTCGCGGAATTCGTAGGTAGATTGATTTAGGAGGTACAACGCGACACTTTTTCTCACATGAGTCTAACTGTATTTTGTTATTATTATGTAGTATTTGCTTGACCATTTTTTTGTATATACATGTTGTTGTTATTAAAATACATGTTTTATTTCTTTTTTTCTCACAATTTTTTAATTTATTCATCAAATTTAGTAATAAAGAATTTATTTATTCAATTTCGAAACTGTCAATTAATTAGTGTTACCAACATAATGATAATTAACGAAACTTTACTAAGTAATCGATAAATTACAAACTCATTATTGCGTATTTAACGAATTACGATTCTATTTTTAAGGTATACTATTTATTTAATTATAAATAAACAAAAATTATTTTTTAAATCGTGGATTTAAGGAAATTTTTATGTTGGTAATATTAATTTCAAATGCTGCGCATGCGTGTTAAATATTAAATAGGTATTTAAATTTGGGTTTATTCACAAATTGTTATTAAAATTTAAATTAAGTTCTTCGAAAACGTTTCCAGAGCCATGAAGAGAGGGTAAAAATGAATAAATCAAAGGTATATCATTAAAACTTTATTTCAAAAATATTTATAAAACATAACCTAAAATGTCAAAATCTTACATTAATTAAATCTATATAAAAAATGATTTGATAAAGCAGTTCCTTGATTAACTTTCTTACGTTTACATTTGATCCCAAAAACGAATAAAAATAAACACAAGATCTATAAATTCAGCTGATTTCACCGTATTTTGACCAAATTACGCAGTCGCCAATTTACGTAACGCGTGTTTTGAGTTTAGACACCCACAAAACGATTTTGTCCTCATTCAACACATTGCAAAATCGATATAAAACATACTTCCTTACTCGTACACGTTTTGACAACAAAAATGTCAAAGATAATGCGCATCGAATGCAGTGGAAGTCGTGAAAGTGTCAATCGAAGTTAAAAAATCGTTGTTTTAGGTGGTGTCCGAGCGTTGTCTCGTTATTTTGGTAAGCTACGCACCTCAACGGACCGCTTTCAAGCGGAAAGATGTCCTTACGAGCCCTCGGCACGAGTCTGTTTAGACATGGTCAGACGGTGGTCCGAGGTATATGCAGGAGACACCTTAACACCGGCATTGTGGAAGCTAGAGCCGTTCCATCCGGTCCCTCAAGCCAAGCTGTCGTCCCTGCTAGGGTTATCCCTAAAAATTTCGCCCTAAGGAGTGTTGGATTACAAGTTGGGCTTCATGCCAGAAGGATTCTTATCGATAATGTACTTAATCGAGTTACCAACAGTTTGGCATCTGAATTACGAAAGAAAGCTGCAAAAAGGTATTAACAATAATATATAATTAATAAAAAAATTCATGAATCATCATTTTTTATGCTATTTTTTGTAATTCGCGTTTTTATTTTTTTTTTTAACAAAAATTAAATAAATTTTGATAATGTAGGGAAATAGGCATGTAGCAGTTGGTAACACAGTAACACTTGAAAATAAAAATTTGAATTGACAATTAGAAATTGTCAAAACACAAAATGTATTCACTTGAAAAAAATGTTTCATATATAGTTCATTTTTTTTCTATAATACTTGCCAAATTATTAATTAAGTAGGCAAAAATTAACAGGGAGTTTTGTTTTATCATGTTTTGAAATAAATATGTCACACTGACGTTTGAGCTTTTGTTATTCAAAAAGAAAAGGTGCATACAACATGTTGTGGGGTGTTTATTTGCCATTTATTTACCTAGAAAAGCTGTTTTGTTCTATTTAATTACTTTGTAGCACGTTTTTACAACAAATATGTACTTCGTTAAAATCGTATTTATCTAAAAATGTATTAGTATTTTAACCTCAACTATTTAGTTACTGAAAATGTTACTAAAAATCAAGAAAACAATATAAATTTTATAAGGGTCCTAGATAATACCAACAGAAACCCTAAAAAATTTACATTGACAAGTATTATAGAAAAAAACGAGCTATACACTTCTCAAAATAAGAGAAATTGTTCAGAGTTCAATGTTCTCATCATTGTGGACCTTGTATTCGATGCTAAGAACGTGTTTAAACATCCACAGACAAAAATTGTCACATTGACAACCAAAAAAATTAATGACATAATGTCACCAACTTGAACTGGTTCCTAAAATCTCATTACAACATCGTCTCACGTCCCTCAAGACGGCTAAACCCGAATGATTCTAGTTCTAGGTTTTGTGTTAGTTCTAGTAATAGTACTAGTGTAAAACTAGAACTAACACTAAACCTAGAATCATATTTAGAACTAAAATGGAACTAAAATATTTATAATTATAATTTACTGAAATGATATTACTAAAAGGTGACTCAGATCAAATCAATTAAGTTATGTCATGTCAAAATACAAAAGTTCAGTTATAAATGCAGTTGTAAATCACTGTGACAAGTCGGTGAATTGTTTACTTTTCGGTCATTTGGATACAATTCAAAAGTAATACGAGAATATGTTCAGATGATTTCAAAAAAAATAGCGTTACTATGTATGGTTTCTATGTATTATTATTAACAGCACAATTTTAATATTTGCTTCCTCATTATCATTAGAGCATTTCTCACTATTTAATCACAATTATCATAACGGTTATCTTTCTGAAATTTCATCCTGCCCTTTGGTTAGAACCCAGATCAACTTGAATCAACTTGACAGACTAATAATAATTATTTGAAACGTTAAAATTTCAAAAAACGTCAATTTAATTCAATTTTTAGACATTTCTAAAGGTTTTACATTAAAAAACCTAAACAAATTCCGTTTTTCGTTTGATTTAAACATAAATTAATTAATTTTCGTCAAAAAACGACGTTTTATAAAATTGACATTTAATTTTGACAGATTGTTGTGAAGTTGGTTACAGTTGGTAACATTGAATTTGTGTCACATTTGACGTTTAAACTTTTAAAAAATAAATTTATGGAATCAATTTCAATAGTCGTATGCAGATATTTTCGAATTCAGCATCCCTTCTCATAGTTTGACAATCACTACTTGATGTATTGTACGTCGTGTTGGGGATATTGAGACCTAAATTTTGGAATTTGAGGTTGTGTTACCAAGATGCTAATGACTAAGAATTCAGATTAGACGTGCTTATTTCTAACAGTATGTTGGCATTGATTTGAATCAAAATGATTTGAATTTTGTCCATTTATAATATTGTATTGTATGGGGTATTAGAACTTGAACACGTTTAAACAGTATTAACCCACATTGCTACATATGTCAAGAGAACTTGTGTATTATAAATAGTGTATTGTAATAGTTCACTTTTCAATGTATCTGTTGTACCAAGTTCAGCTTTATTGGCAAATCCACCAATTTTGTAAGTTGGGCTACTTGCAGGAGTTAATTTGGACTTTATCAAGCCAATCCAACCCTTGTTACTTCTTTTCGACTAATTTTGCAAAGTTGAAGTGATTAATCCTTCAAACTACTAATTATTTTGGTTTGATTTTCTTCGCTGGCCATTGTATTGTAATTTGGAATAAAGATACACTTAAACAATGGACTTTATTTAACACTAATTGTGCCTTGACCGGTTTCGTCTTTTTTCCGTTGAAAAAATCCGTTGAAATTTTTTGGAAATCTCCGGGAAATACTAAGAAATGCATACATAAGTGTCTAAACTAGAAACATTCGGGTTTAGCTACACGTCTTTCAAGACGGCTAGACCCGAATGATTCTAGTTCTAGGTCTTATGTTAGTTCTAGTGAAAAACTAAAGCTAATACCAGACCGAAAACTAGAAGCATTCGGGTTTAGCCGTGCGTCTCTCAAGACGGCTAAACCCGAATGATTCTAGTTCTAGATCTTGTGTTAGTTCTACTGATAGTGTAAAACATTCGAGTTTAGCCGTGCGTCTTCAGACGCACGACTAAACCCGATACTTTCTAGTTCTAGGTCTAGTGTTAGTTCTAGTTTTAATTGTTATTCAGCGCTAGATTATTGTATATTTTTATAAAACTAAAAGTAGAACTAACACTAGACCTAGAACTAGAAAGTTTCGGGTTGAGTTGGGTTTAGGTTTCTAGTTCTAGGTCTTGTGTTAGTTGTAGTGATATTGTTAGTGTGAAACTAGAACTAACACTAAACCTAGAACTAGAAAATATCGGGTTTAACCCAACCACAAAAAGTGACGTCACATCGAAACTTCAAAGTGATTTTTCATTAAGTTTTACACTTCTCCACACTTTTTTTTATTTATAACGGCTTAATTGAGTGATTTCCCGTCGATTAAAAAAAAATTATCGATTTTTAAACGACGTGATGATTCTTGAATTATCCCTAATTAATTCCTTAAATTTATTTTTTTTATTAATTTTTTTTTAAGAATTCTTTTCGGCGATTCAGCTCCATTTTTTGCATTAGTGGGCGTAAGCTTAGCTTCGGGGACCGGAATAATAACAAAAGAGGAAGAATTAGAAGGCGTTTGCTGGGAGATACGCGAAGCTGTCTCAAAGATAAAATGGAATTATCACGACATCGATATCGACGAAAAACGATTCGAAAACGATCCAATCACTTTAAAAGACTTGGATCTTGATGAACCCATCGCTAAAGGGGCTAACGCCGTTGTTTATAATGCAAGAATTAAAAACGAAGGGAATTGTTCCGAAATTAATGATGATAACGACGGTGAAATGATGGCAAAATATCCGTTAGCTTTGAAAATGATGTTTAATTATGATATTCAAAGTAGTGCAATGGCTATTTTGAGGGGAATGTATCGAGAAACTGTTCCAGCTAGGGTTTATTATACCAATGTTGGGGTTTCTGATTGGGAAATTGAGTAAGTTGAATATTTTTAGTTATTTTTAAAATTAACAACGAACATAAATAATTTTTATTATGTTTAATGGTTCATGCAACATATTTATTTGGGTTTCTTCTTGAGATAAGACTTACATTGTTTCTATAAATAAAATTTTTCGATAAGATTATTTATAAAAAAAAATGTGCACAATACCATAATTAAAAATTTTTTATAATAATATTTCTTTTTCAGTTTATCTACAAATAAACGTCATCTTCCACAACACCCAAATATTGTAGCAATGTTCTCTGTATTTACTGATTACATCCCAGAATTACAACAAGCAAAAGGTCTTTATCCAGCTGCTTTACCAAAACGGATTTACCCCGATGGAGAAGGTCGAAATATGTCCCTTTTTTTGTTGATGAAACGTTATAATTGTAGTCTACAACAATTTTTATCTGTGTCTGATGTTTCCACTCGTACTTCAATAATTTTACTCGCCCAATTATTGGAAGGAATAGCTCATTTAACGGCTCATAACATAGCTCATCGCGATTTAAAAACAGATAACCTCCTTTTGGATACCTCCGAACCTGACGCTCCCGTTTTGGTGATAAGCGACTTTGGGTGTTGTTTAGCGGATCGTACTCACGGTTTATATCTGCCTTATACATGTCAGGACGTGGATAAAGGTGGAAATGCTGCTTTGATGGCGCCGGAAATTGTAACTCAAACGCCGGGGACTTTTAGCGTTTTGAATTATACGAAATCGGATGTTTGGGCGGCTGGGACGATCGCGTATGAGATTTTTGGCGGGATTAATCCATTTTATGGAGGCTTTGGGTTTGAAAAATTAAAAAGTTGGAATTATAAGGATGAGGATTTACCGGATTTACCGGAAAATGTACCTGGAATTATTAAAAGTTTAGTTAAAAATCTTTTAATGCGCAATCCAAATAAGGTATGTATAAAAAAATCTCGAAATAAAGGACTTTGGATATAATGGATAAAATATTTATGTTATACTATTAATATTATGTATTTAATACTACTATTATATGTTACTGCTTATACATAGAGGATGATAGAGGGGTTTTTTAGTTGTTATTCAGCGTTAGATTGTTTTGTATATTTTTATTAAAAGTATTTATCCGTTATATCGAGGTTTTTTAAAATGTTAAAGTTTTACGCATCACTTGACTAAGCGACAAATGAACAATGTTGAGGAAAACGGGATTTTCGTTTGCATCGCTTTAAAAATATGACTGCTCAGAATAGACAGGCTCAAACTATTGAAAATTGTTTGGTGCCTATCTATTTTTATCACACAACACTGATAACAGCCATCACAAGCACAGAATACGCTTGGTCAGTCGTTTTACCATTATACAGGGTCTCATAGAAACGATGAAAATTCTTTATTTAGATTTGTTTCAGTGCATTAGATCGTTTCTATGAGATTTATTGAATTAATACTTACGATGAACACCGAATCCACTTTAACAAAGATTATACAGGGTGTTTCTGTAAGTCGTGGTATAAATTTAATTACAAATACTAGAGTCAAAATGATGTTTCATGTAAAAATTTTACACAAATAGATTAACATCCCTCATCTTATCCATTTTACAAACAAGTTTCTTAATATTTATTTTTCTTGTGTTAAAAAAGATTACATATAAAAGTCGAAATCAGATTATGTTAAAATAAAATTAACCCATTTAGTCCCACTATGCTTTATATTTAAAAAAATCGATTTTTTATAATTTTCCTTAAGATAAGATGGAATGCAAAGTATAAAAATGTATACAGTTGTTTGAAAAAAAAAATTTTTTTTGAGATATGAGATGGTGCAAAAATGCACCACTGATAAGATAAATGAACAAAATTTTGATTATCATTTATTAACCAAGTAATAAATTAGCCATAAATAAATAGTAATACTAATACAACATAATACTAACAAGTACCAACTTTAGTATGAAGTTTAAGATAAAAAACATTTATACTAAAATTGGTGCAAAAACGTACCAATAGGATGAACGGTATAATAATTTATTGTGATACTTCGCAAAGCACTCTTCATGTAAATGAACGCTAAACTTACTACACATATCTTGACACACTATGTCCATAAACGACTATTTTTAGGAAATTCACCGAATAAATGCGTCTAAACTGGTTTCTGATAATACAAAAGATGATGTAATCCTTATATCTCATCGTACATCCCAACGTATTTTCAGAATTCATATTTTTATTTCGCTTTTCAAGATATATATGAGGAAAATATGCACTAAAACCTTGCAAATATCAAAATTTTAAAGAATTTTATGCATTAAAAATAGTTTTATTTCTATTGTATATTTTGAACAGAAATTTTCAATCGAAAAGATTTGATGCAAATATGGTTTAAATAGCAAGAATTATAAAATATTTTGATATGTATAGCCTAATAACCTTATAGTCTTATCATACAAACAGCTAGCACCTTGAAATCTGGTAATGTATGGCTCTAAAATAATTTTAAAAACGCTGGTGCGTTTTCGCACCAGTGGGATTAAATGGGTTAAGGACGAAGTGTTACAAGTTTGCAGGTTAAAATTTAAGAACGCTCTCTTTTGACAAAAGAAATATTCAAGAATCATCATGTGGCTTAAAAATCCCGAAACAACACGTTAAAAATGAAAAGAAAGTGCGGAAAAGTGACTAACACTAGATTAACTTCAGTTATAAAACTTCTATTATATGATAATTAACTTTAGGTTTAAAATGTCAACCTCAATTTTGACATACATATTTGTAATCTTTATTAAAAATCCTTTAAAATGAGTACAAACATGACATATTTATCTTCAATATTAATGAAGAATATTAATGATTTAAACTTTAATTTTGTAAATTAGTAACTAATAATCTGATTTCGACTATATTTGTCATCTTCATTAAAAATCCTTTAAAATGAGTACAAACACGACATATTTATCTTCAATATTAATGAAGTTATGGTCAACTTCCGGTTAAGAATGTCAACGTCAATTTTGACATATTTGTAATCGTCGTGAAAAATCCTTTAAAATAAGTCGAAACATGATACGTTTAATTCCAATATTACTCAACTTCCGGTTTGAAATGTCAGTCATTTTGACATATTCTTAATTTTTATAAAATGTCTTAATATTTGTCACAAAAGCAAAAATATAATAAAAAAAAATCAAAAATTAAGGTTGGTGTTAATATTTAAAAATTAAATTGCTATCTTCATTGTTGCTAACTTCGGGTTTAATGTTTTTTATCCTAACTTTTTTGTTTTTTGAGATAAGTGCGCCATCTTTGGACTCATTTTAAAGGTTTTTTAATGAAGATGACAAATATGTCAAAAATGACGTTGACGTTTCAAACCGGAAGTGATTGTATCTCCATTAATATCAAAGTTAAATATGTCGCGTTTGGACTCATTTTAAAGGACTTTTTATGAAGTTGACAAATATGTCAAAATTAAAAGTTGAAAGTTCGAACTTTTTGGTTTTTTGAGATAATTGCGTCATGTTTGGACTCACTTTAAAGGTTATTTTATGAAGATTACGAATATAATAATAAAATTAAAGTTGACATTGACAATTCAATATTTTTTTCCCGACTAAACACGAATGTTTCTAGTTTTAGTTCAATAAAACCACTGCCACTAGAACTAACACTAGACTAAGTGATATTTTAGGTCTTGTGGTATTCTGCATCTTATCTAAGATAAGTCGCTTAGTCAAGCGATGTATAACGCGGTCCAATTAATAGTAATTTTTCATTATTTATATATATTTTTTTTAATTAGCGTTTAGATCCTGAAATAGCAAGTAATGTGTGTCAATTATTTTTATGGGCTCCAAGTAGCTGGATGAAATCAGGACGGACTAAAATACCAACAAGTGCTGAGGTAAACACTATAAATAATCGATTTAAAACAAGATATAAATTTGTTTTAATTTTAGATTTTAGAATGGTTATTATGTATGACAACGAAAGTTTTGTGTGAGGGTCGATGTAATTCTCCACTAAACAAAACCGTCCCTCAAGAAACGAGCGCTATTTATAAAGTTGGAAGGCGAACTTATCCCGAGTACTTATTAATTTCGAGCTTTTTATGTAGAGCTAAACTTTCTAATATCAAATCTGCTTTATCCTGGATACAGAATAATGTTTGATTTGAAACAGTTAATAAATTTGAAAGTAATAAAATTGTAAGTTAAAGGATTTAATTTTGTAATAAACAAAATTATCTTGTTTAATAATTACATTATTAATTTTGTTTCTTAAGTGTTTAATTTAATCGCAAGTTATTTAAAAATCTTATTATTAAGGTTAGAAGTTAATTTCGTTGTACTGGAAGTGATGTGATATGAAAAAGATGGTTTAAAGTATGTAAATAAATGATTTTAATCTTATCAAATAGATTATGAAAAAAGCATCTAAATAATCTGTATATTTTTGGTTGAAGTTAAAATAAAGTTTATTTGTCTAAAAAATTAAATTTTTATTTTATTTTTACAAATTGTATATTTTTTATCAATTTTTTAACAATATTGTTCCAAAAGACTTATTTTAACAAACAGGTCTCCTTGGACTACCTGGCGCGGCAGGTATTTTATCATAAAATTTAAAGTTAGTTAAGTTCCTTGGATAACTGTATTCATCTTCAATGATATTCCGTTTAATTTTGAGTTCAACAGCACATCCATGATCCATAACACTGTATAAACGGTGCTTATAATGATCTTCTGGTACATAAGCATGATATAAAACGCCATCAACTTCGTAAATACGAACATCAAGCCGTTCAGGATCAAATACACCTACGCCAATCATTCTTTGCAACACCTAACATTTAATTAAATTGATTTAGTTTTTTGACTAATACTGAATTTTACCTTTAATGTAGTTTCGCCGATTTTATTNTTTTCACGACTAAACACGAATGTTTCTAGTTTTAGTTCAATAAAACCACTGCCACTAGAACTAACACTAGACTGAGTGATATTTTAAGTCTTTTGGTATTCTGCGTCTTATCTAACAATAAGAAACATGATACGTTTAATTTCAATATTACTCAACTTGCGGTTTGAAATGTCAGTCATTTTGACATATTCTTAATTTTTATAAAATGTCTTAATATTTGTCACAAAAACAAAAATATAATAAAAAAACTCAAAAATTAAGGTTGGTATTAATATTTAAAAATTAAATTGCTATCTGTATTGTTGCTAACTTCGGGTTTAATGTTTTTTATTCTAAGTTTTTTGTTTTTTTGAGATAAATGCGTCATCTTTGGACTCATTTTAAAGGTTTTTTAATGAAGACGACAAATATGTCAAAAATGACGTTGACCTTTCAAACCGGAAGTGATTGTATCTCCATTAATATCAAAGTTAAATATGTCGAGTTTGGACTCATTTTAAAGGATTTTTTATGAAGTTGACAAATATGTCAAAATTAAAAGTTGAAAGTTCGAACTTTTTGGTTTTTTGAGATAATTGCGTCATGTTTGGACTCACTTTAAAGGTTATTTTATGAAGATTACGAATATAATAATAAAATTAAAGTTGACATTGACAATTTAATATTTTTTTCACGACTAAACACGAATGTTTCTAGTTTTAGTTCAATAAAACCACTGCCACTAGAACTAACACTAGACTAAGTGATATTTTAGGTCTTGTGGTATTCTGCATCTTATCTAAGATAAGTCGCTTAGTCAAGCGATGTATAACGCGGTCCAATTAATAGTAATTTTTCATTATTTATATATATTTTTTTTAATTAGCGTTTAGATCCTGAAATAGCAAGTAATGTGTGTCAATTATTTTTATGGGCTCCAAGTAGCTGGATGAAATCAGGACGGACTAAAATACCAACAAGTGCTGAGGTAAACACTATAAATAATCGATTTAAAACAAGATATAAATTTGTTTTAATTTTAGATTTTAGAATGGTTATTATGTATGACAACGAAAGTTTTGTGTGAGGGTCGATGTAATTCTCCACTAAACAAAACCGTCCCTCAAGAAACGAGCGCTATTTATAAAGTTGGAAGGCGAACTTATCCCGAGTACTTATTAATTTCGAGCTTTTTATGTAGAGCTAAACTTTCTAATATCAAATCTGCTTTATCCTGGATACAGAATAATGTTTGATTTGAAACAGTTAATAAATTTGAAAGTAATAAAATTGTAAGTTAAAGGATTTAATTTTGTAATAAACAAAATTATCTTGTTTAATAATTACATTATTAATTTTGTTTCTTAAGTGTTTAATTTAATCGCAAGTTATTTAAAAATCTTATTATTAAGGTTAGAAGTTAATTTCGTTGTACTGGAAGTGATGTGATATGAAAAAGATGGTTTAAAGTATGTAAATAAATGATTTTAATCTTATCAAATAGATTATGAAAAAAGCATCTAAATAATCTGTATATTTTTGGTTGAAGTTAAAATAAAGTTTATTTGTCTAAAAAATTAAATTTTTATTTTATTTTTACTAATTGTATATTTTTTATCAATTTTTTAACAATTTTGTTCCAACAGACTTATTTTAACAAACAGGTCTCCTTGGACTACCTGGCGCGGCAGGTATTTTATCATAAAATTTAAAGTTAGTTAAGTTCCTCGGATAACTGTATTCATCTTCAATGATATTCCGTTTAATTTTGAGTTCAACAGCACATCCATGATCCATAACACTGTATAAACGGTGCTTATAATGATCTTCTGGTACATAAGCATGATATAAAACGCCATCAACTTCGTAAATTCGAACATCAAGCCGTTCAGGATCAAATACTCCTACGCCAATCATTCTTTGCAACACCTAACATTTAATTAAATTGATTTAGTTTTTTGACTAATACTAAATTTTACCTTTAATGTAGTTTCGCCGATTTTATTTCCCCACATATAAAGCATTCTCATTTGGTATGGTTTTTTAATACTATATAGTAGATGTACTAAAGCTTTATCTTCAATACAATTCCTGGCTATATCCAAGAGTCGAATTTTCGAAAAGGGGAGGTGATGACTTAAAGCTCTACATCCGGTATCTTTTATTCTGTTTCCGCACACATTTAAACCTAATAAAGCTGGTCTTGTTCTTAACCAAATCGCAAGCAATTCCATTCCGTGATCGCCAAATTGATTGTTACCCAAATCCAACATTACAAGTGTTTTGTTAAATTTCATTCCATAAAGCATTCTTTCAATATCATGACCATCAAATCCACATTTTTGCATGTGTAGTTCATATAAAGTTGTATTCACTTTTAACATATTTCCAAGATGTTCGGCTAAATCACCACTATCAAAGGTGTAATATAGACTACTTGGAATTATTCTGGACATATCAAAAATTCTTATGCTGGTGTTTGTTGAATAATCCGGTCTTAAAACTGTCATAAGAAAAGGAACGCTGGCCATAGTTTGATCTGTATCGCCTAAATCGAGGTGATTTATCGTATTATTTTTTTGCAACAACATTCCAACGAAACGACCCCCTTCTTTTCCTATTTTATTTCCCGTTAATCTTAAAGTTTTTAATTTTATGGTATCCGCAACCATGTAAAGTTGTTCCACTGCCTTCCATGTTAAACTACACGAAGCCATATTTAAATGTCTCAAGTTATTCTCATTCTTAAGATACATCGTCTTGAAAAGATACATTCCTTTATCTCCAATGTTGTTGTAACATATATCTAAATCGACTACATCAGGATGATCGTTTAAAAAATCGCAAATTGTCATCATATCTGAACAATCCAAACGTAGTCTTTAAATTGAAATAATTAATTTTTAAAAATAAAACTTTATTTTTACTCACCCTTTTCTTTGATCTAATTCCCTGCCTTTCAGTCTTAAAGATTTTGTGCCATCGGAGTTTTTTTCGCAAAATAATTGTAAAAAAGTTGTAGTTAATAAATTTTCCATTATAAATTTAATGGAATTTGTTTATTGATCTTATCAAAAAAATAATTTGTCATATGTGATAAAAATGTCAATGTGACTTTGTCATTGATTTTATATCTATAGTATTTTGATTATAACATGATCATCTTCTGAACATATTTACAATTTTTGCAGTTTCCAGCATTTTGCAAAGCGACTATGGCAGGGAATTTGCAAACAAACTTATTCATGAAGTATGGGATGAACATAAATGTTAATGGAAAAGCAAGACACAACCAATCAAGCAAAGTTGGCTTGAAAACATATTTGCCAACAGATGCTATTTCAGAAATCAGTATAGAGGAAGATCTTGAAGAGTTGCTACTGTAATAAAGACATCGAACTTGAGAGAACAACTTCAGAAGAAAAGGTAATGAAGGCAATGTAGAAATAGAAAATGTGCAATTAATAACTGTTGGAACAAAAAATGTTGTGTTAGTTCTAGTGTAAAACTAGTACTAACACTGGACTCAGACCTAGAAACATTCGCCGTTCAGCCGTTTTGAGAAACGTGCGGCTAAACCCGAATGATTCTAGTTCTAGTGTTAGTTCCAGTTTTATACTAGCATTATCACTAGTACTAACACAAGACCTAGAACTAGAATCATTCGGGTTTAGCCTTCTTGAGAGACGAACGGCTAAACCCGAATGATTCTAGTTATAGGTCTTTCGATTTCTAGTTCTAGTGTTAGTTCTGGTTTTAGTGCAATAAAAATATGCAACATAGTGACATCTTATGCTAACTATCGCTACTACCACTGTTACTAGAACTAACATTAGACCTAAAACTAGAACATTCGGATTTAGCCGTCCGTCTTTTAAGACGGCTAAACCCGAATGATTCTAGTTCTAGGTCTTGTGTTAAGTCTAGTGATAGTATTAGTGCAAAATTAGAACTAACACTAGACCTACAAAGTTTCTAGTTCTAGTGTTAGTTCCAGTTTTAGTGCTAACTAGCGCAACCTACCACTGTCACTAGAACTAACATTATACCTACATCTAGAAACATTCAGGTTTTTAACAGTTTTCACGGCTAAACGAAATTATCTTATTGTGTGACAAACTTTTGGAATATCCTTCCTCATCCATTAAAAATATTGAACCTCTCGAGTTTTAATTATAAATACAAACGATGGAATCAATTTAGGTTTTCTGTTCATGGTGACTGGGGGAAGAACAGGCCTCACTACTTTGTTGTGTTGTCTGACCCAGCCACCTATTAGCCTTTGCAGTTTTGATGTAATTTTGTTTTTTTTTTGTAACTTTATACTTATTTTTTATTATTATTACGTTTTTGTATTTTGTTTTTTTTTTACTTAGACTCTACAGGATGGTTCAAATTCGATGTCCGAATAGGCTAACTCGGAAACTATAAGAGTTAGCAAAAAAGTAGCTTACATGTCATGATCTTGTTTTTCGAGAAACTGCTAATGCCGAAAACCTCAAAGCGCTATCGTCTTTTGTTTTTCCCCTAAAGGCCAAAATTGAAAATATCGTAAAATCAACAAGTGTAATTATCTTGGTTATTATTATAGGTGGAGTATTATAACTAAGACGTTATGTGGACACTTTTTTACAGAGAATATCATGACGTAGTCAAAAATAATTTTTCTGTTTTAGATTTTGAGATATCATGACAATTTTCGTTTTTTTAAATGGAAACAACCACTGATTATTCGCTTATTAAATTCGTTATTTTTTTCTGATTACAAAACTATGGGGTTAGATAGGTCTATTTCTTATTCTTTTAGAATAAAGCTAAAAATAAACTTTTTTTTAGTGGCGTCAAAAAAAAATAAAGTTACAGTTTCCTGTAAATTACGGAACTACAACTAAAAATTATTCCAATAAAAATTTAGTTTATTTTCTAATATGTAACATTCTAACATGTTAAACTTTTCGTAACTTTCGTAATCCAGCTTAAAAAACAGGATTTTTAATTTGACACTTTAGAAAACTTTTGAATACAAACAAATTAATTTATTAAGTCATTTAATAATAATAAAAAATGTGAAATAATGCAATCTATTCCAACTTTTGTATAAAACAAATATAAATTAAATAGTTCAACAAATGTATTTGTTTTAAATATCATAAATATGTTTTTTAATTTTTACTTATAACTTACAGGAAACTGTAAATTACACTAATTATAAGGGACTCTAATTATACATTGTAGACTAATTATAAGGGTTAATAAAAGCATTATTATTAAATGTTTCTAGTTCTAGAAATCAGTTCTCTTGTTATAATCAAAATACTAACTTCACATAGGTAATGTGGATCTACTAAAAATAGGAAAAAACATTTTGTTTATAATAAAGATTAATTTTTTATTATGGAATACATAATTTTATAAAGTAGGAGTTCTTCTATACCAAAATCTAGCTCTAAAATCATCCGAACAAGTCAAAAAAGCAGCTTGAGTAGGCGAATGAGCAATTAATCGAACAGCTCCATTATGCCCTAAAGACATAAGTTGTTTTCTAGAAGCATTCCTAGAATTCCAAGCGCATAAAGATGTGGTGGCTTCATCAGGGAACAAAACATAGTCTTCAGTATGATTAAAAACAGCTTGAGCTTCATATTCTTGTTTTCCAGTTGTTCCAGCCCCAGTATAAGCAATTAAACATCGACTTGTGGTTAATTCCCACAATTTACAAATGGAATTCTTTCCAGATGATAACAAATATTTTCCATTCTTTGTAAAAGCAACAGAACATACCTCCAAACCATCATGAGCTTTCGAAAAAGTATTAATACACCTATTAGAGATTCCATCCCATAACTTTATGCTACCATCTTTACTACATGTTGCATAAACTCGCGCATCTTGGGACCATTTCACGCAAGTAATTGTGCTGGTATGTTGGTGTGATGGAAAGCTACAGACAAAACATTGAGTTGTGTTAACATCATAAAGGCGAACAACCGGATGTTGAGTCCCAACAATTAAATAATCACCACTTGGGTGAAAAGACATGCATTTTAATGGTTCAGCTTCAGTGATTGTTTTGAAAGCTTTTTTAACACTCGCTTTTGAAATATCAAACATTTTTACGGTGTTATCTTTTGAACCTGAAACTAAAACAGGTTCTTTTGGGTGAAATTCAAGACATGTTACTTCTTCCATATGGTCGTATAAAGTTCGAATTACAGGATGACCTTGTTGTTCACCTCTTGAAGGGTCCATTTCATCAGGAGCTGATTTTGCTAACATTCTGTCAACATCTAAAATCTGAAAAATTATTTTAAAATTGTTAAAATAATTAATTATAGAAAATAAGTACTTTTATGCTAGCATCAACACTTCCTGTTGCAATTAATTGCCCATCACTTGAAAAACAACCAGCCCTACAATTTCCTTTATGGGAAGTAACATAAGCTGTTTCATATAAAGCCGGTTCAGGGGCTGGTAAATTTGCGTCAGTTTCAAATTCTAAATCTATAAATAAATAAAATTAAGGTGAATTTAAAGAATTTTTTATATTTTAAGTAAATTACCTAAACCTGGACCAATAGAATTCGTTCCAATACCAAAGTTATGTGGTCTTTCCTTGCGATCAGGTTCATGTTCTAACCCGGCAATCATAATGTGTAATAAACGATCGCTGGGGGCGCAAGCAGGTTCAGCTTGAACAGCGGATGTAAGATTTGTACCAATGGTTTGGTGTCCATCATAAAAGAGTTGACTAAAAATTTAATTACACCTTATTTAACACATATTAAGAATTAAATTAGGTTACCTTATAATTAATCTATAAAGCAATTCTCTGCTTTTAACTAAATTTTTAGTATCAACTTCAGATTCCTTCATTTTTAACCAAGAAAATCAATTTTTAACACTTCGATTATTAACTGATGGAAATGTAAACAAAATTTTGAGGTTAGATTAATACCAACTTAAATCATACAATAATACTAAAATCACTGTTTTAAAATTCAAGTTCCAAAATGTTAAAAAACCGGCTTTTTTTGCATGAAATCTTTTATTCTGTGTAGTGTGGCGTGGATGTATGTAGTGAAGTCTCAGAAGCTTGCCGAGATGTCTGGAGAGCTAAGAAATTCGATTGAGGAGGTGCATTTTGACCCTAACATACCCGAGCACCTAGATGATCCTTTTCAACTACAAAAAAAGGTGATTTAATAATTTAACGAAAGCTTTTCTTAATACTTATTTTCCAAAAAAAATTTAGGTGTATGTATGCCAATTATGTAACGTTCAAGTTACCAGTTCAAACGTATTAAAGAGACACAACGAGGGGAGAAAGCATAGGATGAGGGTCGAGAGACAAGGAAAAACTTTTAAATGCGACCTTTGTGATATTTCTGCTAATAGTCAATCTCAACTTGATGCTCACTTAAAAAGTAAGACAACATTTTTTTGAATCGCCATTTTGTTTTTTCCATTTATTGTCCATTCTTGTTTTTTTCAAAAAACTCTATACTAGAAATTACTTGGCTATTATTTATAAAGTTTTAGTGCCATAATGCTTCTATCCACATTTTTTAGACTTCTTTTTCATATTAAATCAATATCTTCATATTTCAAGATCATCATATGAAGGCTAAATTTAGATATCATTTCAACAGAGAAGATTGTTCATGGAAAACTGAGACATAGCTAATCACAAAATTCGGTTGAAAGAGCCACCCAGGACATAGAAAATATGTTATCTACTTGATTTGAAACAAGTATTACCACAAAATGGTAAAAAGGAGCTAAGTTTATCCAATTCATAAAATAGGGCTCATATTCTGGAATAGATTACAGTTCTTATGATGCTATATTTGGCAGTAAAGGCAAAGTTGGCTTGAAAACACAATTGCCAACAGATGCTATTTCAGAAATTAATATAGAGGAAGATCTTGAAGAGGTGCTACTGTTTTAAAGACATCGAACTTGAGAGAACAACTTCGGCTATTAATTGATACACAACAGGAAAGAACAAATAGTTGGTTTCATCTTTAAATAATACTGCGCTAGTTCTTTACGCCATTTATTTCTAAAATTTGCTAAAATGGTTGGCATCAACCATTTTAGCCGATTAAGTTTTAAAAATTCGTATAAAATCCATTTCTTGGAATATGAGTTTGTAAAATTCCCAAAGTGTTAATAAGAGTGTCCTCTTTCCAATGAACCAACCCGTTTTGAAAAATAACTTTTGTTTTTGAGAAAACAATATTTGAAGTTTTGATAAAATTTTCGATGTTGCAATTTTCATCGATAATATTCAAAATTCGTTATAAAATTAATTTCTTGAAGGATCCTTGTGGAAATATCACCAATTATTAATTAAAGTATCCTCTTTTTAATGTAAAAAGCTGTTTTGAAAAATGACTTTTAGTTCTTGAGAAATAAATTTTTGAAATAATCTACAATTCTTTCGATTTTTGAGATTTTCGCCAATTAAGTTTTAAAAATTCGTATAAAATCCATTTCTTGGAATATAACTTTGAAATTTTTTCAAAGTGTTAATAAGAATGTCCTCTTTCCAATGAACCAACCCGTTTTGAAAAATTACTTTTAGTTTTTGAGAAAACAATATTTGAAGTTTTCATAAAATTTTCGATGTTGCAATTTTCATCGATAATTTTCAAAATTCGCTATAAAATTAATTTCTTGAAGGATTCTTGTGGAAATATCACCAATTATTAATTAAAGTATGCTCTTTTTAATGCAAAAAGCCGTTTTGAAAAATCACTTTTAGTTCTTGAGAAATAAATTTTTGAAATAATCGACAATTTTTTCGAATTTTACAATTTTCGCAATTAAGTTTTAAAAATTCGTATAAAATCCAGTTCTTGGAATATGAGTATGATAATTTCCCAAAGTGTTAATAAAAGTGTCCTCTTTACAATGAACCAACCTGTTTTGAAAAATATCTTTTAGTTTTTGAGAAAACAATATTTGAAGTTTTGATAAAATGTTATGCTTTTCAAAGTATCCAGTAGCTACTGTAGGAGAGAACGTACGTATAAGAATTCCGGATGTAATAGAGAAACATACAGCCGGAATGTTATAGCAGTTATAATGTCTATTCAAAATGGAAAACTCTATAGATTAGATACAAAATACGGAATTTTAAACTAGCTGTATACAAGAAATCAATTTAATATTTGCAAGGATTTTTTTTTCTGTTAACAATGTTCTTAATAATGACATAAGTTTAAAAGAATGTGCTTGGTTGAGTTCGAAATTAGGTTGCTAACGATTTCAATATTGCAATTGTATGATTCAAATAGCTGTAAATGTAAAATGGTACAAATCAGTTGTAATTCCAAATGCCATAGAAGTTCAACATGTTGCAGAAGAACGATAACTATGTTAGGAAACATCAGGAACAATGGTAACATAATATGATAAGAACAAAATTCATTGAGGTGGAGATGACCTTGATATGAAAAAAAAATCATAATCATCATCTCAATAGATATTAGGAACAATGTTGAAATATATAGGGAAAGCTGTTGATGAATAACCTAGAGAGATATTGGATATAATATTAAGAGTTGTCAACTTCACATATTTTAATCTCAAGATAGGACAATATTGAAGACTAGAGTTCCAACTAACAAGTATTGATACGAATTTTGTTGAATGACGTTTTGCTCCTTCTGTTAAAACACATCTCGAGGAAAAGATACTGCCTCTTAAATGTGTGCTATTTATGAACTATGCTATTGCTCATTCTCCAAATATTGAAGGAATCCTTGATCCTGCATACAACTTTATTAAGATCAAATTTCTGTCACCTAACACTACACCCTTATTACAGTCAATGGATGAGCAAGTATTTTCAAACTTTAAGAAGCTATATACGAAAATCTTTTTTTCTAAGTTCTAAATCGTCTAATGTGGTATAGTTACTACAGAACCAGAGTCAAAAACTCACTCGACAAGAACTTGAGCAGGAATTGCAATTTAAGCAGGATCATTCAACAGAAGAACATGAGGTGTCAGATGTGTCAATTACTGAAATAAAGGATATTTGCAGTAAGAGGAATGATATTTCTGTAACTAAGTACTTATGGACATGGTACTGGCTGACGGGAAATCACGGCAAAATTCTGTACTTCCAGCTGGTATCTACGCAGAAATGTCTCCAGATAGATATCATCTGACACGTGAATCCTTTTTATGTGTGGTGCAATGTTGTAGGAAAAATGGCAATATTCGACCGAGGCTTGGACAACATGGGGGAACAATTAGACCTGTACACATTGTTAATCTCGAGGAGGTTTTGAATGTCGTTGAAAAGCAGCCTGATATAAACATTAGGATACTTGCAGAGCAACATGGGCTATCATAATTTTGTGATTGGTTGCTACATCAATATTAGTTGAACCAAAACTTTACCAATAACGTTTTAGTTATGGATGAGGCGATTTTGAGTATTATTGTTGTCTAGTTAATTTCTTTCTTTAAATTACTTTTTTCCTATTATCTTTATAACTTTTACTGATTATTACTTTATTAATTTTTTGTTTATGATAGGTTCAAAACACAAAGCGAAATTAATTAGAAGAGAAAATGCAAACCAAATGATGAATAAAGGAATTTGGATAATATTGTTTGGAGTGGTCGTAATATTCCTGAACCTGTTGCTTTTATTTAAGTACATTAATTTGATTCTATGAACGCAGTTGTTAATATTTAAAATAATAAATTATTTTGTTAGTTGTTGATAAGGAACTACTAATATATCATAAAAGCTTCTGATACTATTAGTATGCAGACATGAAATCATTTTAATCGATTGTAATAAAATGTTACCGATCTTATATCATTATAATTTAGGTATATATTTTTATTAGCAAAATTTTTTTTGTTTATTACTTACGTATCAATATGCAAGTTGTTGTATTGATAATTGAGTTTTATCTATTACTTTATGTGATTCATGTCATTAGTTGATTTATATAGATTTATATTTATATTCTTTTCATTTATTGCATGGTGCATGACTAAATGTTGTTGTTAATGTTATTTAAAGATATATTTAAATTTTATTGGGAAAAATGTTGCGTTGGCCTTAATTTATTAATAATTGTAAGAAAATACGATTCGATTAGCTACATAGAAATAAGTGAAGAGAAAAAACACAGGCACGCGATGTCTTAATATATTGATATTTTCGACATTATATTGTCTTATTATATTCTATGTATAATATATCAATGATCTTTTTCAAATATCTAGGTTTTTTTTTATTTCTGTTTATTATTATGTTTGTCTTGTTACAAATGCAATAAAACAACAAGATAATATTTTTGATTCTTTAATATTTACACCGTTACATGTACAAGAGTACAATAGATCAATCAAAACAATTCAACATAACAAATATAAATACGATAGTATCATAAAGATATATGTGTATAGCTATTTTAGATTTTTTAGCTAATTTTCCTGAGTTATCATGTACATATTTTTTTTTGTATATGAAATTAATTTATAATCCACCTCCACTACGTTCAACAGATATTTTCTTTTTCAACAATGAAGCTTCGTATTTCGCTTCTTCTAATTCGGCCATTCGTGCAAATCTCGAATAAGCTACGCGTCCCGATTTGATGGCAGCCATTAATTGCAAATATTCATCCAATTCAACTTGACCGTTCATATTTGTATCAATTTCTTTTAAAATCTCATGGAGTTCTTCTCCTGGAACGTCAGTTCCATCATCGCGCTAAAAAAACAAGATAAATTAAAATCACTTCAAACATAAAAATTGATAAAAAATAACCAACCTTAAGACTTCTTCTTATATCATTAATAGAAACATATCCTTTACTATCTTTATCAACAATTTCAAATCGCTTAGTAAATGTATTAACCTCATTATCAGTTAGATTAGCTGGATTTTTATCTCTACTTGCTCTATTCATCATTTGGCCCATTTCGTATTGAAGAAATTCAGTGGCTAATGCTTCTTGCCTTTGCTTTTCAGCATCTGACCATTTTAATTCTTCCCCCATAATATCAATAATATCGGGTAAAGCTTCTTGAGCGGCTTGGACGTTCAAAAAAGCTATCCTCAATCTCCTTCCAATCATATCAACAGCGGTCATGGCATATTCTTTTACACCATATTTAATATCAGCATCGATGTATGGAAATTCGGGGTGAATCTTTTTTCCGATAATTGGCCAACGTTTTCCCGTTAAGCAAGCCATCTTTGCCACATGAAAAGCTCGATCACCATAAGCTGTTGCTAAATGTTGAGCCGTTTCGAATTCTAATCCGAAATCTTGCACCAAACGAATGTACATTGTTGGTGTCCAATTATCAGCACCTTCTAATTTAATATTTTGGGTTTGGCACTCTTTGTATATTGGTTCAAGTCCAATACATTTTATCGCAGTATCGATGGTTTCTTCTGCCATGTGTCGATAAGTTGTCCATTTACCACCGGCTATTGTAATTAATTTCGATGGGCTAACGTGTATTATGTGATTACGAGCTAATGATTGTGTATCCGCTTTGTTCGGATCTGAAACTAATGGTCGAATTCCACTCCATGCGGAAAGTACATCACCTCTCCTAACTAAAAGGATTTAAGTAATAAAATTTATTAAAATTAAAATAAATTTACCTTCAACGTCTGGATTAAGATAATGTTTAACTTCTGATAAAATAAACAAGATTTCTTCTTCAGTTGGTTTTGGACTAAAGGTAACATCGCATGGTAAATCTGTAGTACCTGCTATTGTATGATTTTGAAATGGCAAAAAGAAAATAACGCGACCATCGCTTGTTGCGGGATCTAAAAGTCCCATTTGTTCAGGACTATAGTATCCAGGAAGAACAATATGAACCCCACTGCTCGGTGAGCAAATTGATTTAACTGTTGGATCATCCATCTTTCTGATTGTATCAGTGAATGGCCCCGTTGCGTTTATAACACATTTCGCTTTAACCTCCCATTCATTATTTGTTAAATTATCTTTGACAACGGCACCTTTTAAAATTCCGGGTTTGCCGTCTTTTCCAGGTTCTTTTAGTAATTTTTTACAAGAAACATGGTTTACAGCTGTTGCACCATAACGTATTGCCGTTAAAGCTATCGCAAGATTCATTCTTGCATCATCTTGTTGGCCATCATAATACACAATAGCACCACGTAATTTTTCACCTTTTAACATTGGAAATAATTCCAAGGCATTTTTCTTACTTAATAAATAAGAGCTTTTTAATGTTTTTCCAGCAGCTACTATATCATACATTTTTATGCCAGCGTAAAAATATGGAACTTGCCACCAACTAAAAAAAAAAAATAATAAATATATTAAAATTTATATTCAAATATTAATGTTAGCTCTTATAGATAAAATCCAAATCGGGTTATTCCCCAAGTTGCTCTATTTCATGTTTATGTATGAACTCGGAGTATTTTCTGAGTTGCCTATATGATGTATAAGTCAAGGATGGTGGTTCTAGTGCGTCTTCAGACGCATGGCTACAAACTATTTGCTTCTGCAAAATATTGCTTGGGAAGACTAGTTTCTGCTAGCAGATAGCTACTTACTGCTTGCAGAAGACTAGATACTGCTTGGAGAGGCTACTTTTTGCTTGTAGATGGCTATTTACTACTTGCAGAAGACTAGATACTGCTTGGGAAGACTACTTTCTGTTAGCAGGTGGCTACTTACTGCTTCCAGAAGACAAAATACTGCTTATAAAAGCTACTTTCTGCTTGTAGCTGGCTATTTACTACTTGCAGAAGACTAGATACTGCTTGGGAAGGCTATTTTCTGGTTGCAGAATACAGTAAAGCTTGTATTTAAATATTAATGTTAGCGGTTGTAGATAGAATCCAAATCGGGTTATTCCCCAAGTTGGTCTATTTCATCTTTATGGAAGAACTCGGAGTATTTTCTGAGTTGCCTATATGATGTATAAATCAAGGGCGGTAGTTCTAGTTTTAATTATTATTCAGCGTTAGATTGTTGTATATTTTTCATTAACCTAAAGGACAACTAATACTAGACTTAGGTTTAGTAACAATGTTAGTGTAAAATTAGCACTAACACTAGAGCTAGAACTAGAAACATACGGGTTTAGCCGCACGTCTCTCAAGACGGCTAAACCCGAATGATTCTAGTTCCAGGTCTAGTGTTAGTTCTAGTTTTATTTATTATTCAGTGCTAGATTGTTGTATATTTTTATTGAACTAAAAGTAGAACCAACACAAGACCTAGAACTAGAAAGTTTCGAGTTTAGCCGTGCGTCTCAGACGCATAGCTACAAACTATTTGCCTGTACAAGATACTGCTTGGGAAGACTACTTACTGCTTGCAGAAGACTAGATACTGCTTGGAAAGACTACTTTCTGCTTGTAGATGGCTATTTACTGCTTGCAGAAGACTAGATACTGCTTGGAAAGGCTGCTTTCTGCTTGTAGATGGCTATTTACGGCAAGCAGAAGACAAAATACTGCTTGGAAAGACTACTTGCTGCTTGCAGAGGACTAGATACTGCTTGGGAAGACTACTTTCTGTTCCTAGTTCTAGGTCTAGTGTCAGTTCTAGTGTTAGTGTTAGCTCTAGTTTTAATTTTTATTCAGCGCTAGATTGTTATATACTTTTATTACAAGGAAATAGAAACACGAAGAAAGTTTGAGGTTAAGTGAAACGTTGACGAACCACGGATGAACTTTTTGTTACAAACTCTACATTAATTAGACAGGTTAAGGAACTTATTTCCTATTTAAATTTTTCTGATTTAAATCAAAATACGTTTTCATCTCCTGGTATCCTTTGAATTCAAGTTATAAATTTTCCACATGAGTTGGGCAATGAAGAACATTCCCAAACCATATAACTTTTGATTAATTCGATTCTTGTAAAGTCACTTTGAAAAGTTGTGTAACAGAAAGATCGCTGTGTCCTAACACCCATTTAATGTCGCTGTCTAGATTTTGGTATATCCCTGAAGTATTAAGTCTGTAGCTATTTTGACGTGGTGCGTGTTATGCCTGTTTGGGCGAAACACGTGTAGCACCGAACTTAGAATTTTGAAATAAAGCATCGTTTCAGCCTTAACACGGCTTTTATTTACTTAACATTAAGAATCGAACGATGAAGGTGGAACAAACCTTAGCTTTACTGCTTAGAAACGCTACTTTCTGCTTGTAGATGGCTATTTACTGCTTGCAGAAGACTAGATAAAGTTTGGGAAGGCTACTTTCTGGTTGCAGAAGGCTACTTACTGCTTGCAGAAGACTAGATACTGCTTAGAAAGACTACTTTCTGCTTGTAGATGGCTATTTACTACTTGCAGAAGACTAGATACTGCTTGGAAAGGCTACTTTTTGGTTGCAGAAGGCTATTTACTGCATATAACTCTTGATTAATTCGATTCTTGTAAATTCACTTTGAAAAGCTGTGTAATAGAAAGGTCGCTGTGTTCTAACACCCATTTAATGTCGCTGCCTAGATTTTGGTATATCCCTGAAGTATTAAGTCTGTAGCTTGTTTGACGTGGTGCCTGTTGATGCCTGTTTAGGCGAAACACGTGTAGCACCGAACTTAGAATTTTGAAATAAAGCATCGTTTAAGCCTTAATACGGCCTTTATGTACTTAACATTGAGAATCGAACGATGAAGCTGGAACAAACCTTAGCTTTACTGCTTAGAAACGCTACTTTCTGCTTGTAGATGGCTATTTACTGCTTGCAGAAGACTAGATAAAGTTTGGGAAGGCTACTTTCTGGTTGCAGAAGGCTATTTATTGCATGTAGAAGACTAGATAAAGTTTGGGAAGGCTACTTTCTGGTTGCAGAAGGCTATTTATTGCATGCAGAAGACTAGATACTGCTTGGAAAGACTACTTTCTGCTTGTAGATGGCTATTTACTGCTTGCAGAAGACTAGATACTGCTTGGAAAGGCTACTTTCTGGTTGCAGAAGGCTATCTACTGCATATAACTCTTGATTAATTCGATTCTTGTAAAATCACTTTGAAAAGCTGTGTAATAGAAAGATCGCTGTGTCCTAACACCCATTTAATGTCGCTGCCTAGATTTTGGTATATCCCTGAAGTATTAAGTCTGTAGCTATTTTGACGTGGTGCCTGTTATGCCTGTTTAGGCGAAACACGTGTAGCACCGAACTTAGAATTTTGAAATAAAGCATCGTTTAAGCCTTAATACGGCCTTTATTTACTTAACATTGAGAATCGAACGATGAAGCTGGAACAAACCTTAGCTTTACTGCTTAGAAACGCTACTTTCTGCTTGTAGATGGCTATTTACTGCTTACAGAAGACTAGATAAAGTTTGGGAAGGCTACTTTCTGGTTGCAGAAGACTATTTATTCCATGCAGAAGACTAGATACTGCTTGGAAATACTACTTTCTGCTTGTAGATGGCTATTTACTGCTTGCAGAAGACTAGATACTGCTTGGAAAGGCTACTTTCTGGTTGCAGAAGGCTATTTACTGCATATAACTCTTGATTAATTCGATTCTTGTAAATTCACTTTGAAAAGCCGTGTAACAGAAAGATCGCTGTGTCCTAACACCCATTTAATGTCGCTGCCTAGATTTTAGTATATCCCTGAAGTATTAAGTCTGTAGCTATATTGACATGGTGCCTGTTAATGCCTGTTTAGGCGAAACATGTGTAGCACCGAACTTAGAATTTTGAAATAAAGCATCGTTTAAGCCTTAATACGGCCTTTATTTACTTAACATTGAGAATCGAACGATGAAGCTGGAACAAACCTTAGCTTTACTGCTTAGAAACGCTACTTTCTGCTTGTAGATGGCTATTTACTGCTTGCAGAAGACTAGATACTGCTTGGAAAGGCTACTTTCTAGTTGCAGAAGGCTATCTACTGCATATAACTCTTGATTAATTCGATTCTTGTAAAATCACTTTGAAAAGCTGTGTAATAGAAAGATCGCTGTGTCCTAACACTCATTTAATGTCGCTGCCTAGATTTTGGTATATCCCTGAAGTATTAAGTCTGTAGCTGTTTTGACGTGGTGCCTGTTGATGCCTGTTTAGGCGAAACATGTGTAGCACCGAACTTAGAATTTTGAAATAAAGCATCGTTTCAGCCTTAACACGGCTTTTATTTACTTAACATTGAGAATCGAACGATGAAGCTGGAACAAACCTTAGCTTTACTGCTTAGAAACTTTCTGCTTGTAGATGGCTATTTACTGCTTGCAGAAGACTAGATACTGTTTGGGAAGGCTACTTTCTGGTTGCAAAAGGCTATTTATTGCATGCAGAAGACTAGATACTGCTTGGAAAGATTACTTTCTGCTTGCAGAGGACTAGATACTGCTTGGGAAGATTACTTTCTGTTTCTAGTTTTAGGTCTAGTGTCAGTTCTAGTGTTAGTGTTAGCCCTAGTTTTAATTTTTATTCAGCGTTAGATTGTTATATACTTTTATTGAGCTAAAAGTAGAATTAACTAATACAGAACGCAGAAAATTATTCATTCAAACAGTTTAAAGTGCAAATTGAAAAAGTAAAAGTCTTGACTGTTATGGCTATTTTAATTATCTTTTTAAACTTTAGACTTAAAAAGATAATTAAAATGAAGTATAAAAATAAACGTTATCTTACGTATAAACTGGTAGCATAATAGGTAAAGGTTTAGCTAAATGAGGTGCAGAATCCAAAACAGTGGCACGTTCATGTAAAGCTTCTTTGACCATCCGATATTGTTCAATGTCAAGCTGCATTATGGCTTTTTGCAAATAGCGCACCCCGCCGTGCAGAAGTTTTGTGCTTCTGCTAGAAGTTCCGCTTGAAAAATCGTCTGCTTCAATCAAAGCCGTCTTTAGACCCCGAGTTTGCGCATCCAGCGCGCATCCAGCACCTGTGGCTCCACCTCCAATTACTAATACATCGAAGCAATCATTTTTTAAAGAATTAATGAGTTCTTCTCGGGAAGGTAATGGGCCCTTTTGAAAGCAAAATTTTGTTTTTGCGCTTACAGTCCCCCACTAATAAGAATAAACATCTTTTAGATTCTCTGTTAGTATTATTATATACAGGGTGAATCAAAATGTTATCGGTTGTAATAATTTTGATTTACCTCGTACATGAATAGTATCGCCAAATTAACTTACTTTTCTTTCTCTCTCATCCGTGAGTAATAAATATGTAGTTCCTACTCCAAAAGCGGTGGCAAAACTGGTTATAATAATTTTACGAAATCTGGAAGACATCTTCTGGTAGTAGTAAAATTCTAAAATAAGAAAGCGTTAATTTTTTGAAATGTTTTTTAAATATTTTCTAACACAACAATGAGTTTGCAAAGAAAAAATTGCTGTTCTTAATGAGTAAGTTAATTAACCTTTGAAAGACACATAAATGTCAAAATTTAAAAGGCTTCGGTTGCTGGGAAACGATTTTCTTAAAATTTCTTTAACCCAATTCTAATTATTGTGAAACTTACCTATATTATTGTAATTTTTCTAACCATTGATCAGTTACACTCGATGACCTTAGAGAATCTTAGAGGTGAATCCACCAGCTGGGCAAGTTTTGGCTGTATCCCAGATGTTTGGCATTTGAATTCCGAACACAACATGCTCTGCCCGCCCCTTTTTATCCGGCGGTTTTCAAAAGAACTACTCAATCGATTTGAAATTTCAGAGAAAATAAGAATTTCCAACGTAATTTTAATTTTAACCCGACGCGTATCTAAATGGAAATTACGCAAAACTAGCCTTGATATTTTATTGAGGATTTACTTGTATTTACACAGTATAAAACCTCGTTGTCGTTCGATTTTTTTCTCTAAATTTAATCGTTACTTCTCATTGTGTGCTGGATATAAAACTGTAATTATCTGTATCATAATCGCGGTTTTAATCGAGGAAAAATAATAACGATTTTCCTGTTCACGCCCAACAACGTTTCGTCCCCACCACGGTAGAATGTGCTACTTTTCTAGGAACATAAAATTATTCTACATAATTTCGAAAATGATTTATTTGAACTAGTGTGCGAATAATCTTTGGACTATTAAAAACGCGATAATAAATAATAAGATAAATAAATTCCAGTTAATACAATTTTATTAATTATATAATAAATTATATTCGCTGGTTTTTCGAAATTAAATAGTTCTATCAAGTTATTTCAGATTATATTTTCGATTCTTTTTGACTGTTTAAATCGTCATTACTGCTTTGATAAGAATTAACTTGTTCGTGATAACATTTTTTAAAATAAAGATTCCTATTTTATAGTTTATAATTTTGTATCCATCTTTTAATTGTAAGTCTATCAACTTTTGTTATACACGGTTTATAAGATTCCTTTCAAATCTAAGTAATGTGTTTTGTAAAATGTGTAAGAGGTGGCGCTAAAACGCTTCTGTTCAATTATTTGAAATCATTTAAATCAAAAAAAAAATCAGTTAGTTATTATTATACAGGGTGACACAATAAAAGAGGAGCTTTTTAACAATCCAATAAAACCAAAAGTGATGGAAGAAAAGCATTCTATTTTATTCTATTTTACAAATTACGTCTTTTAAATGCCGTCCTCCTGTACGAATGTACTGCACCATCTCAGCTGGGATACTGTAAATTTCATCCTGCATCTTATGTTTTATCTCATCCAGAGTTCTTGGTCGAGTCGTGTAGATTTTACTCCTGAGATAGGTCCACAAGAAAAAATCACAAACCGAAGAATTCTGTGATGTTGCTCCATCCTGTTACAACCAGGTTTCTTGAACGAGTAGAAAATTTTTCAATTCAGGTGTAACGAAAAATTATAACATCTCCACGTAACGATTCACATTAAGAGTTACTATTATCCCCTGCTCATTTTCAAAAAAATAAAGTCCAATGATTCCATGTAACAGCACACCAAGCTGTCACTTTACTAACGTGTAAAGGGCGTTCCTCTACAACTTCATTGTTCTCTGTCGGACTTCTTGCTCATCCTGTTGGTTTCTTTTAGAGGGTGTATCCAGTCTCTTCAAAGTTATTAATCCAATTTTTTATGCCTGTTTTGATGAGACGGCACCATGACGTCCTAAGTTGTAAAAACATCGGAATTCCCGTTGTGCAGCTTCTAAACTATCACTGTTTTTATAAAACATTTTTATGGCTAACGCACCCTGTCACCCGCTTCACTGATTCATGGTTACTAAAATGGTAAAGTGTTGCTCAAGATCACTGTACCATGCTACCATTTCAAAAATTTCTGCTATTCTGTACCTACAGTTATTGTAGTTATTATAATTATTATAGTTATTGTAGGCTTGTGACACCTTAAAAGGCTTTGGCTTTGGCCGGATATTAAAAACTTATTACTTAGTCCTCCACCATCCACAGGAATAAGTATCTATTTTAGGTGTTGGACACTGCAGATAATAATCAAGTTCAACCCCAATAGGACTTTTTTCATTGAATACAACTTTATTTATATCAGATTTGTCTTTAGCAACCTCATTGTAACAATCCCAATACGATATATAAAATCTCTTGTTGCAGTTTCGTCTAGTATCCTTCTCTTCTTTATAATTCATTATCACATTCACTACTAACAGAACTGTCGCTGTTATCACTTTCGATTAGTAATTAAAGTATCCTTTTCTTAATGCAAAAAGTCGTTTTGAAAAATCACTTTTAGTTTTTGAGAAATAAATTTTTGAAATAATCGACAATTTTTTCGAATTTTGCAATTTTCGCCGATTAAGTTTTAAAAATTCGTATAAAATCCATTTTTTGGAATATGAATANTATAGTTTATAATTTTGTATCCATCTTTTAATTGAAAGTCTATCAACTTTTGTTATATACATAAGATTCCTTTCAAATCTAAGTAATGTGTTTTGTAAAATGTGTAAGAGGTGGCGCTAAAACTCTTCTGTTCAATCATTTAAAACAAAAAAATGCAGTTAGTTATTATTATAGCTATTATAATTATTAGTGATGGAACGGATAGTGATTGCAAAATTCGAAAAATTCTCAATCATTTCAAAAATTTATTACTCAAAAACTAAAAGTGATTTTTCAAAACGGCTTATTGCATTAAAAAGAGGATACTTTAGTTAATAATTGGTGATCTTTCCAGAGGGATCCATCAAGAAACTAATTTAATAGCGAATTTTGAAAATTATCGATGAAAATTGCAACATCGAAAATTTTATCAAACCTTCAAATATTGTTTTCTCAAAAACTAAAACTTATTTTTCAAAACGTGTTTATTCATTGGAAAGAGGACACTCTTATTAACACTTTGGGAAATTTTCATACTCATATTCCAAGAACTGGACTTTATACGAATTTTTAAAACTTAATCGGCGAAATTTACAAAATTCGAAAAAATGTCAATCATTTCAAAAATATATTTCTCAAAAACTAAAAGCGATTTTCCAAACGGCTTGTTGCATTAAAAAAAGGATATTTTAATTAATAATCGAAAGTGATAACAGCGACAGTTCTGTTAGTAATGAATGTGATGATGAATTACAAGCGAAGAGAAGAAAACTAAACGAAACTGCAACAAGAGATTTTATATATCGTATTGGGATTGTTACTATGAGGTTGCTAATAACAAACCTGACATAAATAAAGTTGTATTCAATGAAATAAGTGCTATTGGAGTTGAATTTGCAACTCTGTACTCTTGAACTCTGCAGTGTCCAACACCTAAAAGAGATACTAGTTCGTGTGAATGGTGATTTTCATAAATGGCCGGATAGGTCGGATACCGGATAGTTTGCCGGATATTCGTTCTACCACTAATAATAATTATTATATTATAGTTATTGCAGAACAAAATTTTGTTTCTATTTTGTAGTTTTCAATAATGTTATGATTTTGGTTCATGATCTGCACAAAAGTGTGTGTACTGGGCTGACTGATGGGGATCAGAAATGTGAAGTCTTGCCATCAACTATAGAAGGTCAGGCTGCATCAATTTTCCTGTTTATGCAAAATAGTATTTGTTTCTCCCAGTATTTTCTTCTCTATTCATTCCAGCATGTCTGGGTCCTTAATGTAGTGTAGAGTTCACTTTCTTCATATTATTGTGGCTTCTTAGGATTTAAATTTCGTTCGTTATTATCCTTGTCTTCGTTAGTGCTCAAAGTAATTGCTGTCCTTTTATGACATGTTGCAGCTTATTTGTTATTTTATTCTCTATAGGTAGTCTCTTAGCGGCTTGTATAGTAGAGCTGTATTTATATCAATGTTATTTTGGTCAAGTTCGATATTTAGTTGTCGAATGCACGTTTATCAAAATTTGGATTTAAAGAAAACTCTCATGAAATATACAAAAAGAGTTTTTTTGGACTTACTTCACTGGATTTTTCTAAGTTGATGTTTTCCTCAAGAACCAGCAATGATTTATGTTTTGCCCTTCTCGCAACGACTTAGGTGAGTTGTTGCTTGTTAGTACGCCTAGAACACGTATCTTCCCTGGTTAGCAATTGACAAAAAATCGACGAACAGTGATTATTTGAGTTGGCAGTAAATACCAATTTGTTACACAACTGTTTGAGTTAACAACACGTTAACGTTAACCCAAAGCAACCTTACACCAGAATTTTGTTGTAAACCAAGAAAATAAACCACCGCAGTGATGACACTAACTATTTTTTATTTAGATGTTCTTCTAACAGCGACAACTTGTATTCTACTTTTTTCAACTCGTCGACGTCACGTGCAATGCAATGAAAAACAGGTATTACATTTCTCTGCATCAGCATATTCAGCCGCTTGTTGCTAAGTTAAAATAATGTTAACATAATGATTAAAAAATGAACTTACAACTTTTTGTGGTAGTCCTTCTTTAATTTTTCTTATGATAATAATTATATTTTCCATTTTGACCTGGAAGAACCTGTTATTATGAAAGAATAAAAAACGGAGCGGCCATACGGAGTCCTAAGCCTTTTCGTCATATAATAGCACCGTAATAGTCTCTTGCGTCTTCTTTTGAAGAAATTCCAATATGATAGCAAGCTTAACAACTTGGTATACAGCTTTTCTGCGTTTCCCGAATCAAAGTTAATTTTTGATCTTCTTCTTTGATTTCTTCTTGAAATCGTTCCAGCTTAAGTATTTCTATAATATTCGGTAAATTAGTCAGCAAAATGATAGGTCTCCTATTCCTGGGTTGTGGTGATTTTTCCCGGTTATGGGATTATTAGCACTTTTGACGTTTTTTTTGTAGTAGTACTATTTCTATTGGTATGAGAATGAATGGAGCTCATTCTCATACCAGTAGATTAATTTATTGGTATTAATTGTCCTCGTTATTTGATATTCTGCATGTTCCAGAAGCATCTTCCCCGGCTTGTAGGAAATGCCGTTTATTTTTGACAGCTTTTATGGAATTACTGTGTTCACTCTCTCTTCAAGAGGAGTTAAGAAGGATTTTTGTTTGTATTCTCACTTTTATATTATATTTTTCTATCATTTTTTAAATGACTTCTTGTAATACTCTTCTCCTTTATTAATCATCCCCTTCTATGGATAAATCTAGTTTGTTTTTCATTGTTAACTGAAATTACCATTGAAATTTGCTTCTTTCATTATCTTTTAATTGTGCAGTTTAAGTCTTAAAATTTCAAAATTTATTTCCTGTTCTTCCTCTATTTCCATAACGATATATCAGATGCTCACCCAAGATCTGAAAAGGCTACATCTTTTGATCACGACATTGCTCTTTTTTGGTAATTTTCCTCAGTTTTTCCCTAATTTTTCTTATTCGATTTCCCCAGGCTGAATCTATTGCGCTCAAATTGTCGTTTTCCCAAATTTATATAATTCCCCTAGATATCTCATTCTTCGAAAAACAAGTGTATCCTACTTGGTATGTTGCGGCGCATAAAATTATGTTTAGAGAGACTGTATGTAGATTGC